GATTTGTAGGATTGGCATGCAGTTCAAATTAGAAAGCCAGCTCAAATGGGTTATCATTTATTATTGAATTTAAGCAGTTTTATGTGAAATTTTCATTTTTCTCATTCTGGCATTTTCAAAGTGTGAACTTAAACTCCCATGGGCCTGAAGCCTTACGCTTGTTACACATTTGACTTACATTGGTATTACCTGTTGAGCATAATTAAAATTTGATGTTGAATTTGCAGTTAAGCATAATGTACTTTGGCATCAGAATTGACAGTAGCCTGTTTTGTGCATTGTTATTGTCTGCTTTTTGTCTGTACATTTGACAGCTTTGCTGCCTTGTTTAAGTTTTAACAAGTATTTTGCTACATTTTACCCTTGCTTCAGCAATGTTTGGAGTTTATTGTGCACACGTATGCCTACATATCTCACTGCAGGCTAATTTTGAAGTGGTTAGTTTCACAGTAAGTCTCAGTTTTTAAGTGTGCCTCCTTGTTCACACAAATATATAAAGAAGAATTACGTGTTTTGAGACAAATGTTTTTATCTCTCAGTTTTAGACCACGTGCTCATCACATTTGAGATGTTCCTACTGAGTTTGGTAGCTCGCTTCATCTATCGCAAGAAGTTGCAGAAACTGGAGGACAACTTAAAGCAGACAGATGAAGAAGAGGAAGATGATGAGGTTGCCAGAAAGCATGTTCCACACAGATTGTCCACTGTTGGCCTTGTAAAGGAGCGGGAGGGATATGGAACCACCGACACTACTATTGTAAGGAAAAATGGAGGTGGTGGTGAAAAAGTTGAATTTGATAACGCTGTCATAAATGATTTTGGAAATTTGTCAGTAGAACCTGGCTCTGCATATATATAACATTCGTAAATGCTTGTGAGGAAAATAAGTCATGATTAGTGCAATGTGAACCAGGATAATAAAGTGTAGAACGTATATCTGGACCCTAAGTCACCACCATTTGGATTAGATAAAATTGACTTGAGTGAAAAAAGCATTGTCATCATAACCCTCTCACCACTCAATTTTTAGTAAAATTGTGATAGAAGTACTAGATTTGGGATCTATCTCAGTCTGTGATTGATAATCTATTAAAATTGTTGGACCTGTAGGTGGTGGGTGTGTTTATTAGTCACATTCACTGATAGCTGTACAAAAAAGGGTCAAAAAGTAGGACATTTGTGAGTGAATTTATAGCTATCTGGAGAGTACAATACAGATCAAGGTCAAAATATAGGACATTATATTAGTGTAGCATTGTTTATACTAGGTCGACTGTATTTGTGTTGATTACTATATAAAATGGTGCCTATCATGTTTTAAATGCTGTCTCTTTATTTCAGATTAAATGGGTTGATTGAAATGTTATGAAATATTTTATTGATTTTATGGCCAATTTCTTTTGAATTGGATGTAATACAGTTGTTGTTTGTTTGTTATCATGTTAATGTAAAAAGTTTTACTGTCAAAACAAATGCTTTACATTTTTTTCCAAAGATAATACGTATACAAACACTTCAGAGTAAAGGACAATTAGTAACACACTGTATTATTATATTAAGCATATGATAGATTTATTTGCTAAAAATGGAGAGTTAAAGGTTGTTAATGAACTTTTCATGAATATTTTGTTCTTTACAGCTTAATTTTGATTTGTAAAGTTGAAGGTAAGAATTTTGTTGCTTTTTTTTGTTTGCTTCATTTTTGGCAGTATTTTGCTAGCATGTGCTTGTATATTTATATACTAAAGAAAAAAGCTTGTAGTGGGCATGGAGGCTTGCATGATGTCAGTCCGCCCTGTGATTCTATAATTCCAGTTGTTTGGTGGTCCTTGTTCCAATGTTTTATTTTAATAAGAATTCAATAAAGATTCCCATATTTGAGCAAGGTTTTTGTCATTACTTTTTTCCAATTTTTTCAGTTAAGGTCAGTTGATGCCATTCTGTTAGGAATTTTTTAGAATTTATATAGACTACATAATTGATGATACTTCATTCTTAATGCTACAACTGATAGTTATGGTCACCTTCTGGCTTGATACTAGAAAAAAAAAGAGAGGTATTTCTGAATTTGTCTTGGAATTTCTATTTTTTTTTCTTTTTGATTGGGTCAAAAATGCCAATATTTCCCACATTTTGGTGCTCCAAGTGGTTGGAAGGCCTGTGATATTTTAAAGAATAATTAGAAGTTTTAAGTTACAATAGGTGGCAGCATCATAAAATCATTCATTAGGGTGATTCATGAGCTTTGGTTAGTAAAGATTGCCTGCATGTTTATCAATTCATATACTTATTTTGATAATACAGTCATGAAATATGATGGTTGTCTATTCCAAATTTGCCTGCAGAAATAAATCAATAACTTTGCATAAATTGGGTTTTATTATCTTAATTGAATTGGGATGTGTCCACACACTGATGTGATTTGCATAGTAAACTTTTAGGTGCATGCGTTTGTATTTGAATTATTTAAGATGTTTTTAAACATCAAGTATGTATAAAGTTTAAATCTCCATTATAATGAATTAAATTTTTTTTTGAATTGCAATGAGTTAGATAGTTTAATGCAACTCGTCTTTTTACTAAAGTTATGTGTGCCTATAGTGTTGAAGAAATTCCTTTTTTCTAAATTATAAATTAATACTTTATTAAATTCAAAAATGCAAATTTATATCAAATTTGATTAATTTAAAATAGATCACATTTCATTTTAGGTCAGGAGTGGGTATACTTCTCTACTGTTTCCCATTTCTGAGACTGTTTTTGAAAGAGCCATCTGTGATTAGTTGATTAGATGAAAAAAATGCACAGTAAATTAATTGGCATGTAAAATACATTAAAATACTTTGAATTAATTGAAACTCTTAAGGTTTTGAGAGACATTCTATAAATGCAGACTTATTGTTGTTGAATTGAGATATATATTATGTTGTCTTTGTACATATTTTGGTTTGATTAGCATTTTGAAAGTAGTTAAATTATTAAACTTGTGTTCAGTGATTGAACATTGAAGCACTTGCATTAATTTATTAAGCAATTATTTGATTTTTAAAGATTTTTGTATGATTTGTACAGATCTGCTGTAGTGGATCCTAGTACAAATGTCTATCTTTTAGATATTACAGTGATGTACAAGTGTGTATGCATTTAAATTAATGCAAAATGTTCTTATGCCAAAAGATAAATCAAGTTCTACATATAAAAACCACAAGAATTATTCAGATAAATTCATGTTCAGAGTGTCTGTGATACTTGAGAATAGAAAATTATCTGTTTTCCTAAATGGTGTATGTGGATATGTACTCAATGGATGTGGTATGCAATCTAGAGATTAAGACTTCAAATGCATCAGCTGAATTAATCAGTGTTATCCTGGATTAGTAATGAGGTCAATAGAGAGGACTCCCTGTTGAATATTAAGATGAGTAGTATTTATAGCCAGTCATACCTTTCATTCACCCATCATTAAACTGGGACTGCATGAAATATTCATTGAAGAAGACGTGATAGATGCTGGTGGAGGTGCATACTCCATATTACAACATGGAGTCGTCAACAACTATTAGCTTTCTGAAGAGTAACATATCCAATTTTGACAATACTGATGCCATGATAAACAAGGTACTAGTATGTTGAATGAGTAATTGTAATCGGGATGTATAAATTCAGTTCATGTCCAGTGCATGTCTTTTGCATAACATATTTTTTAGATTTATACTGCCTGATGATTGGTAGTGATCTCCAGTACCAAATGGAATTATTGCACTCCTTTTCTGTGATTTTTTGAAAATATATTTCAAAGATATAACATTTTACTTAACAATATAATGTAGAAACCCCTCTCAATATTACAGTAAATTGCACATTGAGTACCATAATATAGCATGTCAACACTAATAAAAGATGATTTATCTCTTTTTTTCAGACAGATGTACTGGATTGTATGGACCATATACCACATGTATGGGAACTGTTCCAAGGTACTGGTTCATTACATAAGCTAGGGACATGCCAACAACATATTATTGTCTTTAATAACATGTGTATACTTCAAAGAGTTATAACTCTGTTATAACTCCTTGTATACATGTACACTTAAGTTATAAGCCCAGCAGATTAAATACAAGTAATATGAATTATACAGGCTTGTATAACCAGTAATTCCAAAGAGGATAAGCAGGCCTGCCTTAATGTGGGCCTGTTATATAGTAATTGCATGATAAACATCAATGAATTCCAGTTATACATATTATATTGTCAAGCAAGGTATGGCACGTGTATCATGATCAACTGTCATTATATGGTTAATTGTCTTATATTTTTCTGATTGTCAACTTTTTCCATATGTCAGTAGAAGTACAAGTATTAGGTATTCCTGCTACCTTGCAGCTGAGGCTTATGTCATTGTGATAGATATATACATAGTAATAAAGTTGTATAGAAAATTCTGAATCACAATAATTTTTTCCAGAGATTCCTACTTTTGCCATAATACTGCTGGTAGCCTGTTCTATTGTTTGTTTGATAACTGGGATAATGGCTGTTCTTGATTTGGTGTTCTTGTATAAACGCATACAAAACTCTAAACTAAGAACAAGAATTCTTATCATACGTGCACTATATGGGGTAAGTTGTTATTCCTTTACACCCTAAGTTTCAGAGCACTTATGGTACAGATTATGATTCTACAGTGTGTACCACCACTGACATAGATCTGTTGTAAACTCCATTTGTCACAAAGTTTTCCATACTGTAGTTTCTGAAACTCAGGATGTCCTGTTGCTAGATGTCTTGTAACCGCTAAATGCCTCATTTTCAAGCTCACTTTTTTATTCTTCTGAATGACCTGTTATCCATGTGTCCTTCAGCATGTTTTTTTTTTAAATTTTCCACTAAAAACATTTTTTTCTTATAATGCAGGACACACCTTAAAGAGCACTTCATAAGTATAGTTGAGTTTGATATGTTGGTGTACATGTTAAAATACCCATGATGTTGCACTTTTGCTTATGTAAATATGTCTCTAAATTCAGACAGAACTATTTTTGTTCATTTATCATTCCATTTAATCTTTAACCTAGACATCTTTATACCTAGCCCTCAAGATTTTTAGCATATGCCATGTTTGCTCCAATACATTTTACTATTTGGATTTACAGATTACTTCTGTCACATCACTTTCTGGTGCAATGGCTCCAAGAGCTAACACATTAGTTGATCTAGTGGCTTCATGGTAAGTAAGCATAGCACTTTAAATTTAGTGTATACATTTTATATTAAAGTGAAGTTTGACTTTCAAGTTTTTATTGAACTTTTCTTAGCTTGGTCCAAATTTTTTATTTGGTTCACTTTATTTGACCATTTAGCTTAGATAAAATAAAGCAAGAATGAGCACATCTCATTTCTGTAATACCCTAGCTTTTTTAAAATTAATTTCTTCAGAGTATGCATTGAACCCTTTCTAATAACAACATAAGGTTTATCATAAATGAATTATATACCAAAAGATGTTAGACTGGGTTCCTATGCCTAGATCGATCCATCTGGATTGGTCTAACTCCCTGGGGAGTCTCACTTAATTGCTATCAACTAACCAGCTTAAATGTCTGTCACGCCTACTGAATCAGCTAGGGGTAAAGATAATTACCCCTTAACAGCTTTAGTAGGCATGACAGACATTTAAGCCGGTTAAGTTGATAGCAATTTAGTGAGACTCACCGGAGGAAAAAGATCGATCCAAATATCTGTGGGAATGGTCCCTTATTGTCTGTACTTGTTATATATAGTAAAGCTTGGGTGAATAAAATGTTTGTTTTTTTTATCCAAAAGCCAAATGAGCTCTTGTGAATGAAAAGAACATCACCCTCAGGTTAAGAGATAGGGGAGATAGATCGATCCAAATATCTCTGGGAATGGTCCCTTATTGTCTGTACTTGTTATATTTAGTAAAGCTTGGGTGAATAAAATGTTTGCTTTTTTTATCCAAAAGCCAAATGAGCTCTTGTGAATGAAAAGAACATCACCCTCAGGTTAAGAGGACACTGGAAACCCATATCTACTACTATATTCACATCTCTCCAAGGCTTCTTTGCTCTAAAGCATCACTTTTTACAACTACAGGCAAAAATTGTAGTCAGTTGCTAATTCCTTTCTGGATGGCATTGAAATTGTGAATGCACACAAGTAATGATATTCTTTGGAGGCAATTTTTTGTGACAGGTCAACCCCATCACAATTACCCTTACACACACATACATAATTGTTCATTTTCTCAGCTTTTCTTGAATAAACAAAAATAAGGACTACCTGCATAACTCTCTGTCAAAACATTTTTTGTGTGCATTTGAAAATAGTGATGCCTTTGAGCATGCTAACCCAGCTCTGCCTCCAGTGTCCTCTGAAACTCACAGTGGTAGACACATAAACTATTGTACAGTAAATAACTACCTGAAATTCATTCAGATATTTTGTAATAGCATAAATTATGAAATAATTGTTTATATTTTCAGTTACCTTGCCCTGTGTTTGTTCAATTTTCTACATGTTATTGTGGATTATCATGGGGGACAAGTTCAGTTGATAGAAGCGTTTGCAGGCAAACCTGTTCCATTGCGAAGTCCTCCATGTTGCTGCTGCTGCTTCTGCTTGCCAACAATAGAACTAGACAGGTATATACTGAATTTTGACAAAATAATCTTTCTTATTTTTGAAAATTTCAAACAAGATGTTGTGAGAAATATCATCTTTGATGAAATTAAATAAAGTGATCGAAACGTAGGAGTAAATTGATGGTGTGCTTCATCTTTAGGCAACTTTTTCATTTTACACAAAGATTGTAATTTAGAATTAACAGCACAGTAGCCCTGCACACTAGATAATACTGTTCGACAGATGCTTGAAGAGAAGCTGTTTAATGATTGAACAATTGTTATTTTTCCCACAGTGATTTGGCATGTCAACTCAGATTATGAACCACTATAGATCAAGGAAACTGGATATAGTATTTGGATTTGTGTTTGAGAAATTTACAACTACTGTTTTCTGCAATTTCTATGTAACCGATTTATTTTAATATTATTTAAGTTATTAGGCTAGGATTTTTAAGTTAGGAATGGTTTTGTTGATTTATTGCAAATGCATGTGTCTTCAGATCTGTTTTTATAGCATTTTGATAAACTGCATTGTTTTTATATTTGGTTACCTTGGTTAACACAGTGGTCCCATATTCAAATGTCATTGTAATGGCATTGACATTTTTGCAATATTATATTCAATACATATAAGGGTCTAACTCAGTGGGCTCAACCTGTAACATTACTCACAGCTGGCACATCCAGACACAATTGTAGTATGCTCAACCAATGCAATTGAATCTGAGCCTTAATGGGTGTGGTGATTAAGTAAATTAAAACTCACTATTTCTTTTTTTTCCTGCATTATAAGGCATAAATTCAACTGTATCAAATGGTTGGTGAGACAGGTGATCATTGTTTGTCCAATGTTGGTGTTTGTGGCTGCGGTACTTTGGGCAAATGATCTTTTTACCACACGACTACAGGTATTTGATTATAAATGACACCAATAATATACATACATTTTATAGGAAATGGCACTATTTTAAACAGACAGAAGTCTTAAAGTCTTAATTAGAATGAAAGGAAATTGAATTGTGTTCTTTATACATTTTATTCTTAAAACATGGAGTGAGTTATTTAAAAAAATGGACTATAATGTGCTCAAAATTAGTGCATTTTCTTTAACTCTTGAAATAATATGACTCATATGAGAAATCAATGTTGGCTAAAAGATTATGCTATGTATTTAGAAAATTATGTTAAGTTAGGTATGGACTTATGTTAATTCATCATTTGCTCATGGAATTTGTAGTTTTGACAGGTTCTGTTTCTTTAAGTTCCTTATGTTACACGCATTTTGTTTTTATTCATTTTAGGCAAATGCTGGTCCTGTCCAGTTCGTGTATTCCATGATAAAGCTTGTCTCCCAACTAACTGCTATCTATGGTCTATTGTTGATCTATAAAAATGTGGACCCAGTCATAAGCCAGAAGTACAAAATTAAAGCAAGATTTGTGCTTCTACAGTTGGCGTTTATTCTTACCAGCCTTCAGCCCCTTATCCTTGGAATATTAGCTATCACTGGAGTCATAGAATGCACACATTTACTTCATGCCAGTGACAGAGCTGCAAGTGAGTTTTGGTTATTCAAGTACGAGATATATGTCAAACAATTTATATAAAACTATGTTGCTGTTTGCATTATCTTTTAAGTTTTCTTGTTTGTCTATATGTAATGTTTGTATTAAATAGCAGATTAATTTTTTTTAATAGAAAATTTTTAGGTTCAATTGATTATCTTAAGAATAACATTTGTGCTAGAATATGCATATTGAGATGACCGTGGTTTGGTAACAGGGTCACACAGTAGAAGGGCTTAATTAATAATTTCCTTATTACTTTCAGTATTTGGCTACGCTGCACTTATCTTTGAGATGTTTATTCTCTCCATCTTTGTGACCATAGTTTACAGAAAGGAGTTTTCCAACAATTCAGCACAAACTTTAATTCAGACTGAGAGTTTATCTCATAGTGAGAAACTTTCACAAACTTACATTCCTAATGGTGTTGACCATGATGTACAAAGAAATGGCCATCCATACCACTGGGGTATTCATTCAATGGTAATTACGAAAGCCCCTTGGCATGGTGGCAAGGAAGACAGTGACCAAATGCTAGTAATGGATCAAATCAGTGTCTGTTAACTGACATTGATTGCAAAGTGAATATTATCTGCTGTTTAAAACAAATATAGAGTTTTTAAAAATGCTGATTGGATGATAGAATATATTCTGTAATGTCTTCCTTTTCTTAGGCTTTTTGTCTCTCTCACTTCGGGACCTGGTAATGGATTGTTATTTGCACTGACTTTTGAGAGTGGTTTCAGTAAGTCTATTCAGACTGCTGCCTTGGGTTAAAGATTCAAGACTGATCTTTGACAGGGATCACTCATACATCATGTAACAAACAGCAGCCTGTAGGCTTGGAAAAGTTCAGGCCTAGAGGTCTGTCCAAACCACCCTTTCGATTAGGAACAAATTGGTTTAGATTCTTTACTACTGTTGTAAAAAAAGTCCACTTTTTCAAATAAAAATCCTTTGAAATTGCTGGTTACAGCCTGGAATATCTAGATCTGCAAGTCTTATTTACTATGGTGTTAAGCAAATTCCATAAGTTGCTAGTCAGAGAAAAAACAAGGAAACAGGTAATGCAGTTGATTTTTCTGAATAGAATGTTTGGTTTGTATGATTACCAAATCAGTCATAAAGCCACCAGAGAACACATGCCCATTTAAATAAGAGTTCTGGCTTACAGTAAAGCAGAGCATTTTATCAAAAATTTATGCATTACTTTTAAAGCTGTTTGAGAAAATAGACCTTCAACATGATACACAAAAATGAAAACCTTTGAGATACACCATTTACAACCCCATTTTAAAGTATTCACTGTCAGGAAGTAAGGCAAATAAATGTTATTGGAGCCATGCCTTTGAGAATAATGCCCCACAAATGGGGAAATGATTTCAAGAGACGATGAAAACATTTATTACTCTTTAGGCTTTATTGAAAACTTATCTACATTGTTTTGATATATATATCAATATAAGCTTATATTATTATAATAATATAAGCATAATAATATAAGCTTATATTATTATGCTTTTTAGTATGTTTTAACATTTAAATATTAAAATATTTAACTTATTGAAATATTTTTAGTGTTAATTTTTGTTAGGTGCATTGAAATTTTTAGAACGCACAGCACAGTTCTTACATAAATATAAATGTTAGAAAAACGACTAAAATGTACAAAAATGTACCTATGTTTTTATGCAAATATGCTAGCTAGGGTCTATGTGGAGAGAATCCAACTTGGCTCCTCCTCACACCCTTTCCTTTTAAGCAAATAAAGTGTTTGTTACCAGAATATGTGGTAAAATAAAATATATATATCTTATGTCCATTAGATTTTTTTTACATTGTACCGAATATGTTATTTTCTTACATTCATTTATAACACTGACAAAGAGCGATACAAATTTTACCAATAAAGCACTGAAGTCATAAGTGACGTAGTGACTGCTATTCATTGAAAAGCAGATAGCTAATATATTACCCGTATATTGTGTACCCATGTGATTAAGGGAGGTGTTGAAATTTCCCACTGAAATTAATTTCTTTGCTACATGTATATAAACATATCAAAAAAAACTCTTATTGTTCTCCTTTAACACTTCTTTGCCCTGAAATCTTTACTGCAAGTGCAATTAAACACATATATTGAATGCAACAACATTTCAACTTACATTATTTTTAGTAAATTGACTGTTTTATTACAGATGACAGAACTGTATGGCTCACAACTCAAAATGCAGTCAAATGTCAGGTCTGATGAGAAATATTATTTCATAAAGCGTGTGCAATATCAACAAGTGCTATTAATAATACTTGTTTCAGAAGGAACAACGGAAGATAACATGCTATCATTTGAAATCCTTATCATCTGTTAAATGTTCCTATCATTGTTCCTATCAGTTGAACACGTGAGTTCATGCAAAAATGCTTGGTCAAACCCAGCAGTGCCATGCCAAATGTAATGTTGATCTCTCATTATCATTTGAACTATTAAACACACACATACAATATGCATAAAAGCATGATAAGTGTAATCAGACAGTTTCATTGTCCAGTTCCATAGGGAAGTGATTTGTAAAATAATTGTCAGGAGAACAAATTAAAGAATTATGAATTTTTCCAGAACATTGGCCTTACTAGAGAAGGAAGACTTGTATAAAAGTATGGATGAAGATGTGGTGAGTTTTAATGTGACTTTGGTCAAAGTTGTGTTTTGGGGGTTCATTTTTCTTTTAGAGTATCTGTTGAAAATGTTTCATTAATTGAACAGCAATGTACTTGATTTCTGGTCAGTTTGCATTGGTATCAATTAAACTATTCTATGATATACATATTTCACACTAAATACATTGTAAACAACTCATAGAAATATTATAAGTTCTGTTTTACCAGCAAAACGGCAGTTAACACAATTATTCTAGAATCTGTGCTTGCTTTCACATCACATGACCTCCATAGATGGCTACACTCTGTAATAATCTCATAAGAGAATATTACAAAAAACAAAACTTTTTTTAGAAAAAACAGTGACTAACTTTGAATGTCAGAATGGATTATTTCACCATCTGTAAGTGTGGGAAAATTGTCCTCTACCCACGGAAAATCCATTCTTGGCCAAAATGAACAGTTGTTATCCCCTTAACAAAAACAACAGTTGCTGTCATTTTTTTCCTTGTTTCAAATGATATAATTAAAATTTTCAATTTTTTTATTTGGTTAGAGTGATGTGAATAAATTTTGAAACGTTAAAATTTCTTTCTCATATTCAGGGTCATGGCAATGCATCAGGAGGATTTGTCTGTGCTGCAAAACAGTTTGCATCTGTTACACTTGTGAATGGACCATGTGTGTATTTTATATACAAATTTGTTTTTGCTAAATGTATTGAAGTATAACTTGGTATTCTCAGCTTTAACTTGAAAATGGGTGCAGTTTTTGATTTTGTTATTTGAACATCTAAAAAAAAAGTATATACTTTGTGGCTTCAGTGCCCAAAATGATAGTTTATTATAATTACAGATGGCCTCCTTGGCTGGGCTATGCTGATACTTCCTTTAGCATGTGTTCTGTTATTCCTGGAAGAAATGAGCAGGGTTATCCGAGTATCTGGAGCAAGCGTGAGAAAGACAGTGATACTGCTTGCTCTCATGCCTGTAAATTATGTTTTTTCATTGAAATTTACAAATTATTGAAAAAATGTTCATTCATATATATTTGTGTGTACTTTGAGGTAGATTCATGCCCTTCTCTATGCATTTGCTAATTAAAAAGTAAGCATTCTCAGTAACAACCCGTTCCTTCCTTACTCTTTTTCAATGAGAGAGATATAATTTAAGGCTGAAGTCTGAGAATGATTTTTACACTCTACAATTTTTGTGATTTATTTCTTGATGTCCAGCATGTCAGTGGATTATAATTATTATTTTAACAGTTTGAAGCTGTGGCAGCTTTGATTGCTGAAGCATTTCCAAGATATGCAATCATCTGTGATCTGGCCATCATTTTGTAAGTCTTGATATGCAGTTCTTAGAGTTGCAAGATAAAAAATGCTTTTAATTGGGATGTTCATAGTTAAAGTTATTTTATTACTCATCAAGACTTTTTTATTTCTGCAAATGGGATAGGGTGTTACAAAAACATTTTAACTCTCTGGAAGTCTACTAAATTTTTCTTATTGCAGTATGCTCTCTGTAGCCATCTTCACATTCCTCCACCTTATGTTAGATTACTTTGGTGGGGACACAGGGATGCTAAATGCTTTGTCTGGTTCCAATTTCAACATGCGCAATGGCAAATGTGGAAAATTTTGCATCTGCTTTGGGGAAGAGAGCACATTGACCCCGTGAGTATACATACATAAATGCACACTGCATGTATTTCAATGACTATACTTACAACGTACTTGTCAAGTGGTGTAAAGTCTGTAGCTGGTTTTTCTTTTTATTTTAAAATTTAAGTATGTGGGACTATTCTTTTAGAAAAGGATTGAAGTTAATCATTTTTTTTCTGAAGCAAAAACTAAAACTGTACATGTTTACTACATTTGATTTCAGGGGCCGCTTGTCATGCATGAAAATATGTGTAATGCAGATTTTGTTCATAAAGATTGCAGAGATGATTATTGGTACTGTCTTGTACTTTATTGATCCTAAACTCTATTGCCCAGGACATGTAAGCATTTACAAGTGTTTCAAATGAATGTCCCACTAAAATTGAATTTTATCGGCTGTTTATTCATGATTGACATGTATGGGTTATAAAACTTTCTTTTGGACATCACAGTTTAGAATTAAAGAAATTCTTTTATACAGGCTGGAATTAAAAAGAAAAAGTCATTATATTTAGTGAATTAAAAGATTAGATACAAGACAGCAGCAGAAATTAAGAACCTTTAGAGCAAAATAAAGGTGTAAAAGTCAATTCTCTTTGTGATGAATGAAAACTTCATGAAGAAAATGTTGGTTTATTTTATCTTTTTATTTTACTGTCATTTTGTATAGTAAATTTTTTAAAAGATATAACTGAAAAGTTAGAAAAGTAGAATATATGTTTATATTTGGTATTTAAATATCTTATTTTATGAAATTAACTGCATTTTAGATGGATTTTAACTCTCTGTACCCCTATCTGACAGTGGTGGCCATGATATCTACATTTGTATCCATGTGGGCACTCACTGTGATACATAATGTGGCACATGAAATCGCTCCAGAGTTCAATCTTACTGGGAAACTGGCCATCATTCAGAGCTGCATCACTTTCAGCAATGTCCAGCGCTTTATTTTGAGTCTTTTTTTAAGTGAAATGGAATCTTTGAGTAAGTCAGTCTATTTCTCTCTCCCTCTCATGTACATGCTTAAAATACTTCTAAATTTATCAATTTTAATAATAAAATATGCCTACCAGAAATTGAAATATAGACTTGCACAATCTCAATTACTTGAGATTAAAATAACTGCAATGAAAGATACCCAGATGTAAAGTAAAACAGATTAGCTGTTAAGAACACTTCTAATCATCTGTGGAGATTTTGCCTTGGATATGAGAGCTGTTGCCTCTGAATACAATGTGTCCATCAGAAGAATGTTTTACATTTTCTTTGTACCTATATTTTATCAGCAGCAATTGAAAAAACTTTTCATTTATGTTCTTATTGTTTTAATTTATAACACATTTATCTAAACCTGCTTATATCTATTATCATATTGCTTTGCAGAATGGCATCATTTCATCTTAATGATAGAAATGCTGGTAATGTCCCTAAGTGCCAGAAAGGTTTATAACGACAACCTGATGAAGGGGGATGATGATCCCAGCAAAAATGTCCCTCTCATGCCTACCAATAGCACAGCCTATCCTCCTGTGGCACCATATGGGGCTGCCCCAGCTGATACAGGATACGGTGGAGGTTACCCCCAGCAACAGTATGCCTACCCCCAGCAAGGTTATGGTTATGACCAAGGATATCCTCAGCAGGATTACACTGGGGGACAGTATAATCAGGGTTATGCAGATGGTTATGGATACAAACAATAAACTTACCAGTGATATTACCAGTGGTACTGTGATGGGTTCAGGAAAAATCTTTAAATTTGTGAACTTATTGAAAATATGGAGGAAATTCATTAAATAGTGATAGATATAAGTGTGATGAAGGTGCAATAATAGATTGGCAAACAAAAGTACTTGAATAAGATTTTGTGGGATGCAACAAAACACAGAGTTGAGGATGGGTATTGCAATAAATATAGAGACAAAAATTGCTTACAGTATAAAAACTGATGGACTCCTAAAACAGACATTAAAACTAATTGAGCAGGGAATTGATGTGATAATAATGAGTTACATTGGAACAAAGTTATTTATGAAACAGTTACGTTTCGCTCTTGTCTATGTAGATATTTGATCTGTTAATTAGATAATTCATTAGCTTATACCTTTTTAATTTGCCATCGCTTCAAAGAAGTTATTGAAGCTATTGAAATGGCCTCACAATAGCTTCAAAGAAGTTATTGTGAGGCCATTTCTTGGAATCCTTGTATCGTTACCCCTTACATTCCCTAGATAAATTGTATCTGAATCAACGCGCGCTCACATCGTTTGGTCCCAGCACTTGCATTGTTACTCCCCCACACCACTACTGTAAGAGTAATAGTAGTAGTAGTATTTTATTTTAATTTTTTTTATTTTTATTTTATTATTATTATTATTTTTTTTTTTTTTTTTTTTTGGTGCACCGTAAGAGGCCTTCAGTATTACATGTAGTAGATACAGTTGTAGTAGTGATAGTATCTCTTATATAAGTAGTGTATATCTGTGTGGGAGGTATGTGTTGTATAATTGCATTTTCAGATGTAATTTTCAAATGATAGGCCTATTTTTCCTGAAAGTCTTACATGTACCTCATTGTGTTGTTTCCCATGTCGTGTGTAAATCGGGACAGCCAGTTTATACTCATATATCTATTCTTTTATTAATTTCTAGTTGATTAAAAATCATACAAACTTCTCTTTGTTCACATTGGTTCCCCTATGCAGATGATGCCCCCTTGAGAACTTTGGGGAGAATTGCCCGAAAATTGTTTCTGGAAACACGTGTCCATTTCTTCACATTACAGGCACCTGTATGTTACTCTAATACTAAATATCTACTTAATTGTGTGTAAAAACATCTAGAAAATTGAGAAAAGGGGCATGATTTTATTGAGCGATTGAAGTCCTATTCTAAAAAGTTCTTAACATTCTAAAGGGGATTATATAGAGCTTCAGCGACTATTTTTTCGGCGAGGGCGGGGCGGGGGTGGTGGTGGAAAAGACAGCACAAAAGTTGCACTATTGACTGATCGACTTTTTGAATACCGATTCGACATATTGTTGGATTTAGCCTACAGTCAAGTTCTAAAATAAGAAATATGCTAAATGGCCGTCGCATTTTTACGAAAGGGACTCCAACCTGTTGGGGTTAACTTAGCACGAAAATTCATTCGTTAGCACTCCTATTGACGATTCTGATATATGTACTGTCTGTGTTAATTGTTTCTCTGTGTTAGCACAGACAGCTAGTAGGCTACATATCAGAATCGTCAATAGGAGTGCTAATGCATGAATTTTCGTGCTAGGGTTAACTATGGCGCGGCGTAAGAGATCGTAAAAGGGTCTAGCCGATATCGACTAAACATAGGTCTAGGTCAGAAACTGAATATATAACAATATAAATTATATTGTCAAGATTTGATGCAGACTAAACTATATCATCCACATATATAGTGCCTCTCCCTCCAAAAAGATAAACCCAGTTTAATATTTATCTAAATGTTAGGCCCTATATTTATTTTAATTTAGGCCTATGATAGCCTAACTAATTTGTTTCATTTTCCCGAAAGTTGCTTAAAAATAATTAAAAGGATAACTGTTCGTATGAAATGTTTCACAATAAATACAATTATAAACAATTCAAAAATACGCATAAATTCCATTTTAGGCCTAGGCCTACTACCAAAACAGCGGGTATCGCAATTAGGCCCTATGCTATCAGACCACGCGTGCCTTCAAAGATGGCTGTAGGCTATTATTTTAAGAGGTTATTATATAGGCCTATAGACCTGTATGTGTAAAAAAAAAAAAAAAAAAAAAGACATGAACTAACTTTAACTTTTGACCAAAACGAAGGGGTATTATCTCTTTATAATCACATTATTTGAGACATATTTCGTGGCCAGGGGCGGATCCAGAATTATTTGA